CAACAAGGATGCAATCTGGGAGGGTTCGGTTTCTGTGTAGGGCTTCTTGACGCGATGAAGGAGTTCAACAACAAGCCACCAGCGCCAGGAGCCAAGCTCATTGGATACGTCGACGACCTCCAAGTGAATCTTCCACCAGGTTTGGCTAGAAACATTCAGGCCATCGCCACCGTAACCAACTGGATCCAAGACCACCTGCTGCAAAAAGGCATTGAGCTCAGCCTCCCGAAATCGAGAGTCCTTTTCCCAGAAGGATTATTCTTCTCCTCTTTGTCAAACGACGAACAGCGAGATTTGACGAAAACGGGTCTCTCGGTTGCTGAAGGTGGTATGGCCATTGTTGGAGTCCCAGTAGGGACAGAGTGCTTCCAGAGGAGTTTCGTCACCAACTTCGCCCGCGGTAACCCTGCTGAGTTGATACGCCGCCTTTCCACACTTGACGACCCGCAAGCGAGCTACCAACTGCTACGTTTGTCTGGCGTTCCACGCTTGTTTCATCTGCTGAGAACGATTGCACCGAGCATTACCAACACTGCCGCAAGAGAACATGACAACCTGATGATATGGGCAGTAAGCAAGATCGTTCTCGGCAAAATGGCAAACACTGTGGGAATTCCAACCGTGGAAGAGGTACGCGCAAACCCAGAGAAGAGTGAGGTCGACTTCTTCAAAGATTCAGCTCGGGCACAGGTGCACCTGCCCATACGTGAAGGGGGGCTTGGAATTACGAGCAGTGTTCTCATTCGAGAATCGGCTTTTGTGGCAGGGCAAGTATTAGTGTTGTNGAGAAGAGTGAGGTCGACTTCTTCAAAGGTTCAGCTCGGGCACAGGTGCTCCTGCCCATACGTGAAGGGGGACTTGGAATTACGAGCAGTGTTCTCATTCGAGAATCGGCTTTTGTGGCAGGGCAAGTATTAGTGTTGTCCAAGTCAGTGCAGGCATCAACAGGACTCACCATTGAACAATGCCTACCGCAACTTGCACAGCTACCAACAGGATTAGCTCTGATTGACTCCCTCAAGAAACTAAAAGAGATCATCACCAAAGACAAGCTCGAAAGAGCTGTTGGTCAGTCATGGACTAAACTTGTTACATCTGACGATTTAACTCCCACTCTTCGAGGGGTTTATCTCATGGAGGCCGGGAAGGTAGTAGCCGAGAGACAAAATGGAGACGACAACCCTGACGAGGAACCACCATCTCCGTCGACATGCGGGCGAAATATATTTGGCCGGTGCTATCAAGTCTTCGGAGCTCAAGCCGTCGTGTCGAAGCCCCTTCATGCAGCAGTCCGCCATATGGTAGTAACAGGCTTGAAAAAAGCAGGATCCCAGGAAACCTCAAAGAAGAGAGCCTTGATTCGCTTGGAGGAAGCAAAAGACAAGGGGGTTCTATCATGGCTGACAACGCAGGGGCTTTCGATGGATGAACGGATGCTACCTGACCTTTATCGAGAATCGATCGGTCGTGTACTGGGGAGTCACGACCGAACTGACTACGATCCAGGCAGACTTTGCAGCGTAGGTGCATTGTCACCGTGTATGGAACGGTTGAGCCGACCCCATTCCCTGGTCTGCGCGAAGACCGGCGCCTCAACCTTCCTGCACAATAGGATGGTTCGCGTGCTGTTAAAGACATTACGCGAATGCCACATGCCAATCGCTGTTGAAGACTCTTCCCCATTTACTACAGGCACTGGTAGGGGAAGAGGGCTCTACAAGATGGATTTAGTGATCCCCCCAGGATTAC